GATTGATCGTAATGACTGCTAAATGTGATTTAAAGTTAATGCATTTTAAAGCCCCCCGTGGGAAACAAATAAAGTACTTGAAGATGTATTCATAATGACCAAGAGTGAATTTGGTGATTGGCCTCTTCTTGTTTGAGATGGCCATGAGAAGTACGACACATTATCCGCTGATGATTAGCATTATAAAACAGCCATCTGTTTAATTAATTAGTCCTTTGGTAAACACTGTGTAATTCTCTTTTGTTGATGTGTATGTAGCCAGGGACTGTGAGTGCCATGGACTATGGACTGGAAAGACTAATAGATCCAAATGCACACGAGGTAACAGGTGAGTCTCTGCCTGACCCGCATGAACATAATTCCTTTCAATCAGCTTATATCCCATAAGAAGCTTTAATGCATTAATGCAAGTACAGTAAATGATATGTATGCTGTTTTCTTTTATTAAAATTAAGGCCTTCTCTTTTCCTTTCTTCTTCTCTGCAGGCATTTCCTACGGCTATGTTTTCAAATCCCAGACTTTTAGGCTGGTTGTGAACACATCTGCACACACTCACATCACCTCATGAATGCACTTGCTATAATACTTGCTAACAAAAAAAAAGTACCTGAATCTCAGCTCAGGTTGTGAAATGATGTTGAAGGTTAGTGTTCACAAGTGTTCATCATGAGTCCAACAATGATAAAGAAGTGATGTATAAAACAGTGCTTTTTTCTGTGCAGAAATACATACAGTGTCCTAACTGTGAAGTCATAAAGTATATGGCTTATTATCTGTACTCATACTTTTAATACATTTTTCCTCAGGCAAAAACACCCGATGACTACGAGAGGATCGTAAGTTTTTTTCTACTCACTTGTTGGATGTTTTATTGATCACGTATAGTGGCAGCTCTGTGTTATTCTGGCTGTCATTTCTCTCCCTGTAGATGATTTTCATCCAGCAGTCCATCATGCGTCCCAGAGTGAAATCATCAGTGTCCATTGGCGCGTAAGACAGTCCCTCATATAAGAAGCTCGCTACTATCTGTAGCAAACCAGTACCCCTCCTATACCCTGGCTGCTCCATTAGCTGTATGCCTTAAAGTAACACACGCACATTAGTTTCAGCATAACCCCACTGAGTGATCTGTAAAGGTCAGACAGGTTAAAGCTGATGAGAAAGTGGGACCGTTGTGGAGGGCTGCTTAAGCTTATTGGTGGAGCCCTCCACAACAGTCTCAGTTTCTCAGTAAAAAAAAGAAAAATACTGGCCCTGATTATATGATAAGTAGCTAGCTCAGTGGCTAGCTAGTAGAAAGTTCACTTGAATCTTTGACATATTTCCCACGTGTCTTTCCAGCAAATAAAAAGAAAATGAGAATCTTCACAGTAGACAAACATGTATTGTCAAGTGTATTTGCTGTTCTCTGACTGATGAGGGATTAGATAATGTGAGTTATGCCTCCTGTAGGCTTGGCTGCACTTGCTTTACTGTTTCTGTGTGGCTGCATCATTAATGGTTAAAGACGTTATTTTCCTTCAGTGTGGTCGATGGTGACGTGTTTTTCCCTCCACTGCAGGTTGGTGAAATACTGCGCCACTTATAAAGGCCACGACCCTTTTCTGTCCAAGTGTCTTCCCAGCAACCCCTGGCTCACTGATGACGTCACATACTGGGCTTTGAATATGCCCAAGTGCGTAAGATGATTATACTTATAGAAATCACTGATTTTGGACAATAATTAAGAATATTTTGTTTTTGTTATCTGTGCGGCACAGTGTGGAAATACCCACTAAAATGCGTGTGGAGAGGTGGACGTTCAGCTTTGGAGAGCTCCTTTCAGACCCTCGAGGACGAGATGACTTCAGACTGTTCCTAAAGAAAGAGTTCAGCGGTATGATAGTCTGATGCAATTTAAAGTCACTGTTGGTCCTGATGTTAAGCTTTCCTTCAGTAGAAGGGGTTAGGAATAATCTGAGTTTATATCTGGTTATTTTCTCTAAACCTACTCAGGTGAGAACTTGGCATTCTGGGAAGGTTGTGAGGATCTGAAGTGGGGCACTGCTGCGACAATGAAAGAGAAAGCAGAGCAGATCTACAAGTAAGAACTTCTTGAAGAATATATTAGTCTTCTGGTAAATATTGAAGACAGTGGAGAAGAAAGTATTATTTGATTTAAAAATCGCCAACTATGTTTACTGACAGTGATTTATGACTCTTTAATAGTTATATTTATTAGTTTAATAGTGACACAAATACATGTTGGACATTCAGTGTTTTTAATTTTTATTTTTAACATTAAATTCACTCAATTATTTTTAATTAATAAAGATTAAAGATTAAAACTTAAAATAAAACTGAGAATTAATACAAATTTTGGTTGCCATCATCCAGAAATAATACGCCTTAGATTAATTACAGTTTAAATCTAAACTTTGCATGTAGTGAACTTTACCTGCAAGTATAGTGTTACTTTAACTGATGATTAAATGATGAAAACAATGCAGTGGATATTTTTTTCTCACATCTTTACTGAAGAAGAAGTTTTTATCTGGCTTTTGAGGTTTTTCCATGTAAGTGTCAAAGCATTTCCTCTTCATTCCTCCCACTTTCATTGATCTCAGGACTTTCCTGGCACGCGGTGCTCCACGATGGATCAACATCGATGGAAAGACGATGGAAATCACAGTGAAAGGTCTGAAACACCCACACAGATACGTCCTGGATGCAGCCCAGACTCACATCTACATGCTCATGAAGAAGGTCAGTAAACATGTCAGTAGGTGTGATCAGTGCAGAGACTGCATAAATTAAAACACCTTTTTGGATTTTGGTTTGAGCTGACTGTGGAGCTGATGGCGCTATGCATGCCCATGCTATAGCAACGTGTGTAATTTGCTCTAAATGGGAGCATGATTTGAAACTAAACATCACAAAGTATCAGATTAGACTTTTATTGAGACTATAAACTCACAAAAAAATGTTAACTGGTGTCATAAATGATTAAGTAGCAGGATAATGTTCTCATTGACCTTTATACAATATGAACTTTGTGACCAGATGAGGTGCCCCCTGCTGGCCACTGTAAAGAAAGGAAGTTTAAGGCACTTCTGCATTGGCTTCACTTTTCAGACCTGGATGTCTATGGTTAAATCACAAGGGAACGGTGGGGTTGTATCTGTACCTGTAAGAGACCAACTCACTGGACCAACTGATAGCATTTTGCATTTTGCAGGACTCATATGGCCGATACCTAAAATCTCCAGTGTTTAAGGAAACAACGAAGAAGGCCGTATGTCCCGAGGAACACAAGTTCAGGTAAGAGGCACTTTTTGCATTGAATTTGTGGAGCTTTTCTCAGACATTGTTGGAAGATTTATTTGAAGCTTTTAGTTTGACTAACAGAAAATACGTCTTAGTCACAGCAAAGAGGAATGTTGCAGTCTAAACAACCCTAACAAATATATAACATAAACCTCAAATTTTCTCTTCTCTCCTCCGTACTCTTAAAGACAATCCTGAATTTTCAACTTTCAACTCTTACCTTGTTCCTGTTTCTTTTCCCCTCCCCATACATCATCCCAGTGACTCCCAGTTGGAGCAAAATGCAAGAAACAGACGGCCCAGTCTCAGTCCCATCATCATCCGGCAACAGGAGCAGGAGCAAAAGGCCAAGATGGCCGCCAGTGCCCCTGTTGACATCACACAGGTCATGAGCAAACTCAGCCAACAGGGCAAAGAGGCGCCTCCTCGTCGCACCTCAGTTAAAAATGACTAATTTTATTTGTCTAATTGCTATAGTAGTTACATATAATACATGTAATACATTATATGTTTAGACAGGATATAATGTTATATAATAAATTAGAAAACATCTATAATATGTTGCTATTAGACCTTTCAGTGAAGAGTCATAGACCAGAGCCCAGCTAATTTATCAGCGTGCTGATATATCTGCTGAAATTAGCTGTTTGCTGATCTATTGGTATCCATATTGGTCATGACTGATAAATAAAATTTTTAAAATTTAAAGAATTGAAGTTGTTGTGCCTCATAACAACTTTAATCATGTTTGTGCATTGATGCTGCATAGGTAGATTTTAGGATATGTGTCAAAATATTCGATTTTCAAATCAACACATATCGGTCTTAAAAATCGTATATCGATCAGGCTCTATGTAAACATACTTTATATTTCTGTGTGAGTCACATGTTTGACGTCTTTGGAAATGCATGTTTCAAAATCTGAACCAACCTTTTTTTGCAACTCATGTTAATAAATTACTACAAGAAGAAGACAAATAGCCATCTATTGTCATCGCTGACATTTACGTCCATGTAAGCTGTAAGTGTTGTCTGCTTTTTTGTTTGTCATGATACATTTACTGTGCTGTCCATCTCTGTGCATTCACTGTTGTTTAGTATGTTTTGAGTTGTCTTTGTTATCAGTCATAAGGTAATAAAACATTCATAAAACCACCTCATACTTATGTGTTTGGACTTAAGCCGTCATTTATTCACCGTTTTCATTTTTCCATTTAATTCGATTGTAGCGCAATGCATTCAAATTCCTTCCTTCCTTCCTTCCTTCCTTCCTTCCTTCCTTCCTTCCTTCCTTCCTTCCTTCCTTCCTTCCATTGTTTCTTTCTTTCAAAACCTGCTTTTTTGTGATGCGAAAGTGCAACGTTAAGACCAACATAAGTTTGCAAATTTACTTAACCATTTGCACTTGTTGTAAACATACGCTTGTTTCTACAGCTTGATCATTGAGATGATATTAAAATGCATATTAACTTATTAAAACAGCATTTTTCCACCATAGAGTGAGGTATGGTTCTCCACCTATCAAAACTGATGAGCATTGCCGTTATATTTTATAGCTTACATTTCCCTTTGCTAAAAAGCAGAGTTAAACAATAGGAAACTGAAGCTAAGGGCAAAACAAGTTAAAAGGAGTGTACTACAAATTTATTTGGCAAGAAAAAAAATTCTGGATTTAGCTAATAAAACAGAAACAATGCCTGTGATGCTTAGGTTGGATATCCATTTAAAGTAAAATTAAACTGCTGCAGGCAACAAGCAACAGTGAGAGCTAGAATCAAAAATCTCCTGGGCTACTGCCGACCCTGTGATAGCTCGTAAGAATATTCTGGAAATTTTTTATCAGTATTGCAAAAGCAGATTTATGTGCCTCAGGCAAGGCACCTGCAAACAATTGTGCAGAATGGGGAGAACATATTTTAAAATACTTTGAAGTCGACAGACAAGAAACGGCATCATAGGCAAATGGGATAACACATTATGAAGATCTCGGGTAATCATCGCAGCACTGTGGGGTTTTGAGACCAACACTGATATCATGGGTTGATGATAAAAGTGATGACTGTTATCGTCATCACTTAAAACAAAAAAGTTGTTATTGTTTTTCCATCTGGAGCAGGACTCACTGTTATGACATCATAGGCACTGAGGCATTTGTCCCAGGGGTATGTCAGCCTGAGGACAAAAAACAGCTGGAAAATCAGGATACGCTATCAAAGCCCATTTTCCCTACTCAGTTACAGATGTTATGTTTTTTAAAGTGCTGTGCTCTCTGAGATGAAAGTGTGGTGCTCTAATGTGAGCTTTAATATCATGAATCAGCAAAGCTGAATGCTGGTCAGACCTTTCTTTACTTTGAGCGGACAGTGAGATTGTCTTGGAGGCTAAATATTAATTTCCTGTGGTTACAGAAAGTGAGAGGGCTCTATATTGTTATAATGAAGTTGATGTTATGAAACCTTTTGCGTGTTATGTCTCTTGTTAGGTCTGTAAACAGAATAGTGATGTATTCAGGGAACCATCTGCTAAAAAAATTCCAAATACAGACATGTATTTATCTGTCTGGATGCCCTCTGACTTGTGTCTCTTGCCCTTTGACCTCACAGCTGTGCCACTTTACCACTCCTGTGCCCCACCTCGCTGTTTATTCTGGCATGACTGACCCCCCCTCCGCCAACGCCTCGCCCTCTCTTCCCTTTTTGGCCCACACCCCAGCCTGTCCGTCCCCCATCAGCGTGGCCTTAGACAGCACCTCTGCCTCTGAGCGGCGAGCGGAAGCCAGTGAGGGGGAAAGTGAAGGGAACCCTGAGGCCCGAGCATCTGCAGGAGGGAACGTGTCCAAGTCTCGCATGGCTCTATCCCTGCGTCGTCTACTCAAGCGTGGCTGCACTCCCTCCTCTATGTTTGCCAGCTTGTCACCTAAATGTAATCCAGCTGCCGGGACAAGCAGCCGCATACAGCCAATCAGCCCAGATGAACCTAGTCAGGCTCCGCCCAGACGGATTGGCAAGTACGTGACAGTCATGCAGGACTTTTACTTTGAAAGACATATGTTTTCCATCATTTTCGCTCCAATCCAGGAGTCTTATTTTACTTTAAATTTAGGTGGAAGCGCTGAAACAAGAAGTGAAATAGTTGTAGAACAGGCCTGAGGAAGAGGCTGTTATCTGTAACTTGGACACTAGGACTATTTGTTAATTGCAAGAAAGGAAAAAGAAATTCAATTTTTAATACAATTATTTATTTTTGTTTTTATTGCAAAAATTCATACATATGCAATATTGGAGCTACAGTTCCTACAAAACCAATATGATGGGAACATCTTTGCATAAAAGCTGGAAGTCAAAACTGTCATCTCATATTCAGTTATTTATTTAACTGACACAGCACATGTAAATATTGTTATATTACATACAGTGTATGTATTTTAGTCATGCCTGTGTATGCAGACTTTGTATCTAGTTGGGCTACTAAGGTACACAAAGTAAAAGTTTATGTTGCTAACGTGACAAATAATATCAGATCAGCCCCTGATGACCTCGTCTTTTTCTGAAACATTTCTCAGCTTTTTTCAGATCAAAGTGGATATTCCTCCGGAGTGCCGCATCTACCCCATTGAGTCTGAGGATGAGGATGAGGAGAACAGAGCTGTCTCTCGGGAAAGAGTGGGAACCAAAGAGATCATCTGCCCTTGGGAGAGCCTCACTCCACAGAATGGGACAGGCTAATACACTGGAATTACACAGGTATAAAATGGTGGGACCAGACCATAATGTATAACATAAATTCAATCAACAAGAGGACAGACTGACAGTACTCTTTCTGGGATACTCTAAAAATGGCTGTCTAGAATGGACCAAACATTAACTTGCTGAACCTGCCTGCCTGTTGGCTTGAAATGCCCCATTGTCACACATGTTGCAGCATAATCCTAACTTCACTGTCCATGCTCAGAACTTTCAAAACATTTTGTTTTCAACAATATGGCTCAGTACAAAGAGTTTATGCAGGCGTAGTTATGTCCATCATATCTGTGACTGAATAAGTTTAATGACAGCAAAAAAGCTGTTTGTGATGATATGGTAATTAACTCTGATAAATTGGCAAAAATTGTAACTGTTGCCCTCTGTTGCAAATTTGTTGCCATCTGCATAAACAGAAACTCGCATTGATCAGAAATTCACATTTACTACATACATTCTGACTCCACCCAGAACCTCATAGATTTGAAACCGAAATTCTTCAACAAAAAGTCCCGTATTTGCAGCAGAGCGGTTATTTAACTGCAAAATAACACTGTTGCTTGGCAACCTTCCTTTTTGTATAGGAATATTGTCCTGAGAATGAAATCTTTCAGTTTAATATGTTTTGTGATTTGCGTGTTCACTACAGAGGACATAAATAAATGAGTTGAGTCTCAGGAGGAAATGACCAGAATAGATCTGGCAATGAGTTTGTTCAAGTCCACAGAGAACTTGTGCTCATTGACTCAGACGTACTCGGATTGACTGCAGTGTGTTAGAAATCTGTCTGAGAGTGATTGCAATCAGTCCGAGTTGGACCGTGATTGTTTGGAGACAGGTTGCCTCCCATCAGGTGACCTGTGCAGCTGTCTTGCAATTCCCAGTAGCCTCCCACAGGCTGAAAGTGTTACACACTCAGCCTCTGGGTAACCAGGTGCAATCGGTTACTAAATGTGAAAAAAAATCATTGTGCAATCACAGATTTTTTTTAGCAGCAAGGAGGTTGTCATCCTATTTTATACTCAAGTATGACTGAGCCATTACACATTCGGGAAAATAACGAAACCTATAAAAAAGTAAAAGGAAATCCTTAGTATTTGTTATATATTTGCATAGAAAACACTGTGGATACAAAATACGAGTCCAAGCCAACAGGCAGAAAATGTCTTAACACTTAAAATCTAGATTTTGCTGGAGTATTCCTTTAACTACAGCCTTATATTCACCAACCCTTACTAATGTGAGCACCAGCTGAGCCCTGTATTTAGGATAGAGGTGTAGTTTTGGCAGAGGCTGCTCCACATGGAGAACAGGGTGAGCGCTTTCAAAACATGAGCCGTAGCTTTCATACCCAAGCCTCATTCTGTACCTGCTGATGAACTGTAGCCCAACAGCAGCCTTATCCGCCTCCACACACTGGAGATATTTTGCTATGTTTGGTTTGTTGTTGGAAGTTTTTACTAAGCAGGCATCTACACATACTTCCTTAGAGCCAAGTGGACGGGAAAACAAAACAGCACGAATAAAAAGAGATAAACTGAAGTATTTTTGTGATTGCCAAGGACCATAAGTACCACCGGTAGTTCTCAAGAAGTACATGTTTACATCCTAGAGTGTGATAATCCAAAGCAGACATCTGTAGACTCTGCTTCCACACATGCCTGCTAACTGATAATGTACCTATATATCTATTAAAGTCGAGATGTGTTCTTGTGATGCGAAATAGACTTAGATGCCTGAACCCTAGTTTACTTACCTCTTACGCACATGTGAAATGACCAAATAGATGCGTTTCAGGTCAAATGAGAGCACATGAGCAGCTTGCCTACATGCTACTATTTTTGCTGATCTACTCCTGTGAGACGTACGCTCTTCATGTATGAAGGGTTACTTTAAAGGGAGTCGGTGAGTAGTTTTTGTATTTGACTCCACTGCTGTTTTGTACACTTTGTGTAGCTGTTGTGTACTGTACACTACTCTGAGTGAGGTGTTGATATTTTTCCCCTCACTCACAAGTCTCTCCTGTATGAGGGACAACATGGACTTACTGTCTGAATGTATTATCTTTATCATGTTTACAGATGCAAGAATGTGAAAAAGACCTTAAATTTGTTGTATTTGATATGTACATTCCATGGCTTGTGTCAAGTGCCTCAATAAAAGATTGTCTTTGCAAAAAGGTTCACCTGAAATCTGGGTGGACTGGCCTTTTAAACTATTTTTAATGCAACTTTCAGAATTTTATTTTTTTTATTGTAGTATGCAAATAAAAAAATTGAAATCAGGGGGCTAATATGATAAAATAGCACAAAATTTCGTCACCTCCCAGCATGAAGGTTCTGGATGTGAATCCACCACCTGTGTGGTGGATTCACATCCACCACACAGGTATGGTGGAAGATTTAAAGATGTCCACCTATTTGTGTTGTCAATATGTTCATGTATGCTTAAAAAAGTGATTTGTTTTTGTATAACATATTTTTTTTGACTCTTTTGATATTAAAGGTTGCCAATTGCTGACCTAAACAAACAGTTTGCAAACATTAACCAAAAGCGCCTTAAACTACTCATAAGAACCCCTGCTCTCTAAAACAAAGTACATTACAGTTTTTTCTGATGGCTTATGCACATTTTTTGTAACTATTGGCTGTTTTTGCAAAACTCTACACACAACTAAGAAAACCCTTCACCAAATCAGCAAAACATTGTAGTTGTCTTGCAAAAGCTAATAAACCTTGCATAACTCTCCAAACCTTCGTAAAAATGGTATTTTTTATATCAAACAGTTAACACAAGCCATCACATTAATAAGCACACAATGCACCAACTACACACTGATGGCATGAATAAAAACCACATCTGGCTTTTGCTTTTCTGTGCACAAGGTAGGCCATGTCAGTTTGAGGTCATACTTTTGTCATAGGTCCGTAAACACAGAGGGATCCAAACCTCAAGTACTGGTGTTTAGTCACACACATCAAAACAAACACAAGTGTTTATTTCCAAGTCAAAACAAAATAGTAATTTCAGTGAGGAAAAAAAGAAATCAGTCTACATTGTGTCGTCTCTGTGGATCCGGCCACAAAATTTCATCTACATCACATGCAATGTCCTCTAGTCCAAGGCACCGGAGAAATTATCTTTTGGAATGGTGTATCCAGGCCTGACATGATGCCTAGTCAATATCCCCACATGCCTCCTCCATTGCCTGTAAAAGGGCTATGCGTTGATGGGGATGACGGTCATAGACCTTTCAGCGCCAGGCAGAGAAGAACTCTTCAGTTGGATTCAAGAATGGAGAGTATGGGGGGAGGTTGAGTACAGTGAAGAGTGGGTGATCTGTAAACCAGTTGCGGACCAAAGCAGCCCTATGGAAACTAACACTGTCCCATATGATGATGTATCTGCTCTGCTCTGGTCTCTGAACATTAGTGAGCATGTCATGTAAGGCGTCCAGGAATGTAATAATGTGTGCAGTGTTATATGGGCCCAGGGTTGCATGATGGTGAACAACACCATTTTGACTTATAGCTGCACACATAGTTAATGCTCCTGCCACGTCTTCTCGTCAAAAGGTACTCTGTAGATTTGTTTCATTCGGATTTTGTTGCGGGCAAGTACATGACCCAATACAGAAATGCTCACATTTTGTATGTTTTGCCCCCAGCATCTGGTCGTCTAGCAATTCTGTAAAGGAACAATTTCAGTGTTTTTACATCTATGGTATTGTTGTGTTTCTCATTAGCATATGGCAGTGCTACAAATCTTAGTGCAAAGTGACTGTGCTAACCGACTCTCATTTCGACATATCCTTATGATGCCTGCTACAGTGTAGCGGCTCAAGTTAGGCTGAACCCGTTGGCCAGCTTCACTCAGGGTCGTTCCATGGTTGATTACATGGTCCACTATTGTAGCTCTGATGTTACCAGCAATTCTATTTCTTACTCTTCTTACCCTTCCTCTTCCCCCTCCTCATCCTCCTCTTGCTCCTCCTTGTCCTCTTCCTCTAACTTCACCTCCTTGTCGTCCTCTTTGTCCTACTTCTTCACCTCCACATCCTCTTCCTCGGCCTCCTCTACTTCTCACTCTTCTCACTCTTCCTGCTCCCTCCATTGTACTCCACACACACAGCTTACCTGTAGCTTATTTATAGTGCTGATTGCAAAGTGAACTAATTATCTAAAACAGTTTTCACATGTGACAGTGTGCCAGACAGTTGGCAAAGTAGTGTAAATAATAGCCATAAATGTGTATAGTTTTGCTAGGAGTGCGTTGATCATTTGGAAATTGAGTGTAAAGCAGTGAGTTGTGTTTACAGTTCTGCAAAAAGAGTGCTGTGCAGTGGATTGTACCTACAGTTTTGCCAGGTGTGTGTTACAAAATGGCAAACTGAGTGCAAAGCAGTGTTTGTGCTTTTAGTTTTGCAAACTCAGTGAGTGGTTTTAGTATTAATAGTTTTAGAAATTGTGCTATAAGAATCACAGTTAGGGTTTAAGCACTCAGAAAAAAACTGTAATGTAAACTTAAAGCCTCAACAAGTGTTCATAACATTGTTTAACCACTGGGAGGCAGTACAGCAATGGCAATAGGAACCATGTTAGGTCTCTGAAAGCTGATTTTATTTTTTTATTTTTTATTTTTTTTTGTTAGAAAAACACACTATTTCTGAGAGTATTTTTATGCTATATTTAGATTATGCATGTTATGCATGTAAGTGTTATTAAACACAGGGGACTTGGGTGTTAGGCCTTATGCAGAAACACCTCTTCTGCTATGAACTCCCACATAAACCTCCTGTTAGTTTAAAATGTTGGTAAATGTATGGAACATTTTGCAGTTACCAAGACATTACTATAAGCTATTTGCTATATAAGAATGTTTGTTTGTGGGAGACACCACCTTCCATCTGTTGCACATCTCCCTGACTGATCTATAGAGACAGAGCATCACTGAGGTTACTGAACTGAACCTGGAGCAGAGCTTTGATCTGTCTGCGTGTTTGGTGTTGGTCGCTCTGAACAGAACCATCTGATTGTTGTCTCACAATACCCACAGTGGGACATTCACAAGCAGTCCATTCATTCATTAGCTCACCAAGAAGGAGGGAATTTATGCAGCATGGTTAACATTCATCTGAGGGGTGCATATATTAAAATACATTTGTGTGGAAGCATCTTTTAATGATGCCCTTGGAGTTTGGTTTTACACCTGAATCATTTTTTATTAAAAAAAAAAAAAAACAACA